AAATTTCCCCACCTTGAAGTTGACCAATCAATTCTTGTAGAATTTGTGCCCACTCACGAGATTTCATACCCTTTATCCATGTAAACATATAACCATCTTTCAGGAAAAATATCATAGCAAGTAAAATTATTCACACACTGACACACATGATTCACAAAAGAATAATGATAATATTTTTTCAGTTTCACAGTTTTCTATTCTTATCCTTTTCAATGTTATAATAATTTCGGTCTAGTAAATTAACTTATATTGCTACTGTACCTGTTGATAGGGATACAGGAAGAGGAAAAACCCGAAGATCTCACAATTTTCTTCAAAAAATTAAAAATAAAAATTTTCTCGAAATGAGATTCATACAACTCCGTTTCTATAACCAAACACGAATTGTCAAATGAATAGAATTCAAATCCAAAGTATTTGGAATATAAAGGCACAATCACTAAAAATATAGTAACCGCATTAACAAATCCATAAAGTTCTAAAACAGCAATGAAAATGACCTATATTTTTCATGTTAAAGACAGACTTCTCACTGTAACGGAAGTAGAACGAAAGCAAATGACAAGGAGTGGGGGTTTAATCGGCTCGTAATTTACGACGGCTTAGTACCCATGGAGGTCAAAGTTCACTAAAAAAGTAGACAAATTTTCTGCTGAAGCCCGATTACCACAACTTGTAGCCAGTTTAACTTACAAGCACCCTGTAACCCAATTTACTTCAAGAAACACGCACTCAAATTCAACATTCAAAAGTAGTACACGAATAAGCAATTCCCACATTCTTGGTAAACTAATTCATAAAAAAGCTTGAGAAATGCGTTATAATGCAGTAGATTACCTTGTCAACAGCTGAACCCAGATCAAATTGCCTCATAAAATCTGGCAAAGAATTTCCCTCAGCTTCGATCTGAACTCGACAACTAGTCAGTGGGTTATCAATACGTGATAATTCTGCAGAGGGCAAGTCCCAAAGTTGAGAATCTTGATAAGAATCATACTCAGGATCGTTGAATTTGTGAGGTGGGCTTTGCTTGATGAAGACAATCTCGTCGTCGTTTGATGGGTTCCTCAAAATCACCGCC